GTGAAAAGTTAAACGATGGTCGGTGTATTTCAATTTCGTCTAAAACAACTTCAAGATTCGGGATCATTACCTAGTTGATGGTTGATATTAATAGCAATGAGCGCTTCTGTGTTCCCATTGGTGGACATTTGGCTTGGAAATGCCCGTTTGACCCCAAATATCGGTACTGTAGTAAGAAGCATGACTAGCGACAGTGTCAGGATCGAAAAAAGGAGAAACAATTCTTGCCATTTTGCTGCAATTTTCGAGGTATTAAACAGTGCCGGTTCGTTTCTATGTAATATGACGCTCCATGTGAGAGATTCCAAGTCGACTCCAACAAGATGGGGTAAAGGAAGCTCCGAAGGAAGGCATGATATTACAGCAGGAACAAGGGAGAAACAGTGGAGAGACAATGATAGCCTCTGACCGACGTTTGGGACCACGGCGGCGATTAAGGATAGCCTAGTGGCGGTAGGAAACGAAGCGGGAAAGAAGTGTATCCTCGTAGTGGATGAGGTGCAGGGCTGCGATGTGAATTCTGAGGTTGCTACGCAGATCTTTGGAGGAGTAGAAAATCTCCTCTGCTTCTCTGAGGAGATTTGTGGAGGATCTGTGGAGCAGAAAATCTGCTCCACAGATTTGGAGGAATACCTCAAAAAGTTGGACAAGAGGATTGAAACTCTAGAAAAATTAGCTGTGGCAAACAGATGAGGGTGTAGTGGGCAATGAAATGAAGAGGAAAGACAATAAGGAAGAGAATGGAGTATCAAAGATAGAAGTCTCAGGAAAATGAACTATCCACTAGTGATGGCAGTGTTCAACCCCCGTGTGGTGCAAAATGTTGACGGAGAAGCTCAGGCAAATTGGTTTACAAAAATAGAAGTTGAAGACATAGTTAACAATAGCATTACTTTTGACTGTGGTACGTGCATGAGTGTTTGAGCAAGAAGCAGTGTTGAAATGTTGAGAGTGTGTCCAAGGGGGCTATTGCTTCTCAGTGAATTATCAGACAGCAGCAAATTTACGAGCCTGACAATTCGTCATGGAAGAAAGTAATTACTACATCTACGTTACGTTCCTCCTAATGTTGGTGGTAATTGTTTCTATGGCAATGCAATACATTCTTGAAAGACATGATACTTTATAACATTAGAACATAAGGATCTCATATTCGTTCTCCTATTATACTTCTAACATGAATTATTCATTTCTTCCCACCTTTTGAAGTGAGAGGATTAATTCATTAGTTCCCTCGCCTCTCATTAATCTAATCGCCGAAGCTTCATATCTCTGAAATTCTATTCCCAATACTCTGCAAGTTCAATCCCATCCTCATTATCTCAATCATAGCATTTTTTGAGATCGTTGTTGCATCTCAATCATAGTATTTCTACGAAGATTGGCATCCCAAGATTATTCTCATGGCTTCATTTTGTACCTTCTCCAACGTGCTTAGGCTACCTTTACCAAAACAAGAAATGACAGGTACAGCATAATCAATTAGAGCTCTCACAGTACACCATGTGATTACTATTGGAATATGAAATGTAAAATATGATTAATATTTGTGTACTGTATGAATTTGTGAGTACCTTGGGGGGGATTATAAACAGATGAAGGTAGAGATAGCCTAAGCTACTCTATCCTTTTGAGATGTATTTCATTATCTCGATAAACATACATGAACTAGTTTTGTCGTCACTGCCGCTGGTATGATATTGATAGCCTGATACTACTATAGTCCGCTGGTATGATATTGATAGCCTGATACTACTATAGTCTGCTGGTATGATATTGATAGCCTGATATTACTATAGTCCGCTGGTATGATATTGATAGCCTGATATTACTATAGTCCGCTGGTATGATATTGATAGCCTGATACTACTATAGTCCGCTGGTATGATATTGATAGCCTGATACTACTATAGTCTGCTGGTATGATATTGATAGCCTGATATTACTATAGTCCGCTGGTATGATATTGATAGCCTGATACTACTATAGTCCGCTGGGTATGATATTGATAGCCTGATACTACTATAGTCCGCTGGTATGATATTGATAGCCTGATACTACTATAGTCTGCTGGTATGATATTGATAGCCTGATATTACTATAGTCCGCTGGTATGATATTGATAGCCTGATATTACTATAGTCCGCTGGTATGATATTGATAGCCTGATACTACTATAGTCCGCTGGGTATGATATTGATAGCCTGATACTACTATAGTCCGCTGGTATGATATTGATAGCCTGATACTACCGCTGGTATGATATTGATAGCCTGATATTACTATAGTCTGCTGGTATGATATTGATAGCCTGATATTACTATTTATTTAAAAAAAAAGTGGACCCAGAGAAGCGCTGTCACCTCAAACATAGGAGTGGCCGTTACTAATTGGTGTTACAAACAGTCTAGGTGGTGTAAGTGGTTGCTCGGAGCGTTGTCTGCTGGTACGATATTGATAGCCTGATATTACTATAGTCCGCTGGTATGATATTGATAGCCTGATATTACTATAGTCCGCTGGGTATGATATTGATAGCCTGATACTACTATAGTCCGCTGGTATGATATTGATAGCCTGATACTACTATAGTCCGCTGGTATGATATTGATAGCCTGATACTACTATAGTCTGCTGGTATGATATTGATAGCCTGATACTACTATAGTCTGCTGGTATGATATTGATAGCCTGATACTACTATAGTCCGCTGGAATGATATTGATAGCCTGATACTACTATAGTCCGCTGGTATGATATTGATAGCCTGATACTACTATAATCTGCTGGTATGATATTAATAGCCTGATATTACTATAGTCCGCTGGTATGATATTGATAGCCTGATATTACTATAGTCTGCTGGTATGATATTGATAGCCTGATATTACTATAGTCTGCTGGTATGATATTGATAGCCTGATATTACTATAATCTGCTGGTATGATATTGATAGCCTGATATTACTATAGTCTGCTGGTATGATATTGATAGCCTGATACTACTATAATCTGCTGGTATGATATTGATAGCCTGATACTCTTGTTGCTATTGTTACTGCTAATATTACTGCTACTGATATTACTGCTACTACTACTGTTAATGCTACTGTTACTGTTGTTACTACTATTACTGCTACTGTTTATGCTAATGCTACTACTGTTACTGCTGTTGTTACTGCTAGTTACTGCTGTTGTTACTACTATTATTGCTACTGTTTATGCTATTGCTACTACTGTTACTTCTAGTATTGTTACTGCTAATGTTGTTACCGTTACTGATACTGATACTACTACTACTGTTACTGCTGGTACTGTTACAACTACTACTACTGCTTCTGTTACTGTTATTATTACTATTACTGCTACTTCTACTACCGTTACTGCTACTGTTAATTCTCTCCTTACTGCTACTGTTAATTCTCTCATTACTGCTACTGTTAATTCTCTCGTTACTGCTACTGTTAATTCTCTCGTTACTGCTACTGTTAATTCTCTCGTTACTGCTACTGTTAATTCTCTCGTTACTGCTACTGTTAATTCTCTCGTTACTGCTACTGTTGATTCTCCCGTTACTGCTACTGTTAATTCTCTCGTTACTGCTACTGTTAATTCTCTCGTTACTGCTACTGTTAATTCTCTCGTTACTACTACTGTTAACACTGCTGCCTTCTACTACCACCTCCATAACTAATACTAATCAAATAATACCAGTAACGAAAATGAGAACAATGGCCCTACTCTAATATTAATAATAACGTTATTATAAGACCAGTATTATGCTCAGTATTAGCCGGGGGGGGGGGGACAAAACTTTTCACTAACGTGGGGCCAATATCGCAATAGGTCAGAAAAGACTCGTTGATGACTTGTTGTAAGGGCGGTGGTAAAACTATAGTGATGTCACGGCTGGTGTCACGGCTGGTGTCACAAGTTGGCATTGTTGTCTGCCAACGTCACTCAGAGGAGATAGGCGTTCGTTGGTTCTCTCTTAATATGTTGTCAGCGCTGGTGGAAGAGATTGTGCGCTTATCACGGTTGAGTTTTTATGTCAGGGTTGGTTCTATGTCCCCGGCGATATATATATATATATATATATATATATATATATATATATATATATATATATATATATATATATATATATATATATATATATATATATATATAAATTGTCAACATTTCCACCGTTGTCGAAATATGTTGACCTTCCTCTCAACCCACGAACGCTAGGCTTTCTTGCAGCCTATAGTAATTCAACCTTAAAAAATCTAATTTTCCTTCTATTCCTCACTCGCCTGGGAGAAAATCTTGGGTATAATTTTATTTAAAAAAAAAGTGGACCCAGAGAAGCGCTGTCACCTCAAACATAGGAGTGGCCGTTACTAATTGGTGTTACAAACAGTCTAGGTGGTGTAAGTGGTTGCTCGGAGCGTTGTCAAACATTACCAAAGGCGTTGGTGGTCCTTCCCTAGGGGTTAGTTAGTAGGTGCGTGTGTAAGTGTGTCTCACTACCCTTCCCTAGCGGTAGTGAGCCAAGCTCCAGGTGTCGTCAACCAGTCTACTGCTGTCGGATCCGGTTTCAGAGGATTCCAACCCAGGACCTGCAGGCAGGAGGCATTAGCACTTCCTCAGGTATCAGGCATACCCCCAGATGTGAGCTCTGCCCCGAGTGTGTCAATTTGCCCTCGGGTGGTGTCAGGTCCTGCCCCCACGTGGTGTCAAACTACCCCAGAGAGAGAGAGAGAGAGAGAGAGAGAGAGAGAGAGAGAGAGAGAGAGAGAGAGAGAGAGAGAGAGAGAGAGAGAGAGAGAGAGAGAGAGAGAGAGAGAGAGAGAGAGAGAGAGAGAGAGAGAGAGAGAGAGAGAGAGAGAGAGAGAGAGAGAGAGAGAGAGAGAGAGAGAGAGAGAGAGAGAGAGAGAGAGAGAGAGAGAGAGAGAGAGAGAGCGAGAGAGAGGAGAGAGAGAGAGAGAGAGAGAGAGAGAGAGTGGGGGGACTTACCTGTTGGTCGGAAGAGTCGGGGCGAGACTTGGTGTTGGCGGCCATCCACGCTTCTGCAAACGTCTCCATGGCGCTTTGAAAGTCCATCGCTGTAGCCAGGTCGAAGGTCGAGGGAGGGCACCAGCAGGAGATCCTGCCCCCGACGACACTCGCCAGCCGTCTTATTATCGCTGTCGACCCCCGCCGTCCACCGCTACAAGTAACGAAACCTTTCTATCTGCACGGGTGTGGGAGCGGCCGACGGTCACGCGAGCACCATATAAGCGCGAGTGAGAGTCGCTAGAGAACACCGCGAGTGGGAGACATGACACTGTGAGAGCGTGGCAGACACTGGTCGCGGGCTGGGGGTCGCGGGCTGGCACCGATTAAAGTCACTACCACGTGCTAAGCTCTAAGCCGCGTCACTCCGGCCTACCGCGTGTTTTAGCGCCGCTCGCGTCTCTACAACTAATTAGTTCCGGCCTGAGACCTGCTCCGCCGCCACCGATGCGTCACTCCCGTCGTGCCATCCACGACTAGCTAATTTCCTACCCAAAACATACTTTATAAACAGCGAGTTTAGATAAGCCTCCATAATCCTAGATTAGGGGGACGAGGAGCGCGCAGGCGCGGGAGCAAGCGGTGGGGGGAGGAGAGCCCGTTGCAGTTTAAACCACCGTTCTCTCCTGCTTTTTGATGACGATAGGAGCCTTATGAGCGGTGGCTAACGCTTGTCATATCTGGCCATGTGAGAGAGACTGCGCAGCAGCCAGCTCCGGCCTAACACGACAACAGAAGGAGGCGCTAACTGAGATAATATCGGAGAGGGGCGGAGGCACAGGGGAGGAAGAGGGGGTTGCGCGCGCACCCGCCTCTCAGTTGCCGCCCAACTCCCGTCGCGACAACTTCTCGCTCGCTCCTCCGACTACCTACCGGACCATGTGTATATATGGGTGTGTGTGTGTGTGTGTCGGTGTATGTGTGTGTGAGAGGTCGCTTCCCACGCCGATCCTCAATGTATTATAACCCCCTCCCCACCCCACCCCACTCAAAAAAAGAAGACTACTTCAGCAACAGAGAGAGTGAGTTAAGTTACGAGCACAACTCAGAGAGCGAGAGAGAGATACAAACATAAGATAGAGACGAGGCGGTGAGAATAACATTACCTCCAGGAGGCAGCAAGTCTCACCCGAGGCACGACAGGAGAAAGAAGACGTTTTACTGCTTGTTTTTACGATTCCCTCCCCCCACTCCCCCTCCCCCTCCCTGACGAGTCACGGTGGGGCGATCGTGCGTCTACGATAATCCACCAGCTTTACCGCTTACGTGGGGATTTGCCCTAATCCGATTGGGGACGTAATTGCTGCTGCCGAAATTTCTTTAAGCTGTCTGTAACAAAAAAAGAAAGAAGGGGGGGATTCTCAACGCTTAGCTGAAAAGGGGGGGGGGAGGAGAAGCCGAAGATAAAGAGTAAAGAAGAGATAAAGTAGAAAGGAGAAGGGAGAGAGAGGTTGAATGAGAGGAATAGAAGAATTATCCGTTTGGGAGATCTTACCAAGGGAAGGGGGTGATAGAGGGAGAGGGAGAGGGGGGTGGATCTTACCTGTGGGGAGGGTGGGGGGGATCCCTTCCTTACCCCCATGATGGCTAGGTGAGATCTAATCAGGTTTGGTAGAAAAGAGAGAGAGGTACGGATGGTGGAAGAGAAAGGAACAGAAATATATACTAATCTTTCGGGATCAAGCTGGGAGAAGAGACAGATAAACCAATCATACTTGAAGGGGGGGATGAGAAACAGACTCTTAATCATGCATGTATGGAAGAGAGAGAGAGAGAGAGAGAGAGATTGGCTAATCATACGTTGGGGGATTTTAGTAAATACGAATCATACATAGGTTAGAAATAAGACAATAATCATATGTATTGGAAACTATGTATTGGTTAACCATACTGAGAGACTAATCATACTGAGAGAGAAATGAACGAATCATACATGGAAGAGAGAGAAATCTTACATGGAGTGCAATGATATTTCACAGAATTATCATTGCAGAATTTTACGTGAGAAAGACACACACGGGAATCTTGCGTGGAAAACACGGAAGAGGCATGAAGATGGAAGATATCTCTCCTCATGTGTCTTGAGGCACAAATCTTACGGGTGAAGAAGAAACAATGAGACACGAATCTTACCTAGACGATGTGCGGCAGCCTAGCGCGGAAGTCTAACGAAAATGCGTAAATTTTGGAAGATCTCGACTGAACCAACACAAAACAAAACAGAAACGAGAATCTTCCATGAATAGAACAAGTATGTTAAATAAAACTAACCATCGCTCTTCCGTGGAAGAAAAAACAATGAAAGAAACAATCTCAATGAGCATGAAAAAATATAACAGATCTTGCATAACAAAAAAAAATATGATTTGAGAAATGAACCAAGACCCTGACTCTTATAGAGCACCACAAGTGTACTGAGATGTGGATAAAACAAAAAAACATCGACTTTAGGCTTTTAGCGGGCTACAGAAACTTCAAGTTTCCTATTTTGAGAACACAATGCATCACAAATTCCAATTTCGTGAATACGAAACGTTACACTTCCTATTTCTTGTATAAGAAGCCTTAAACATCTTATATGCTGAATAGGAAGTTTCACACTTCCCATTTAACGCAAGAAAACGAACTAAATCTTCCCGTGAAAGAGGTATGGTACCTTCGCAAAGGTCTGCATATTTAAAACACCAAATGCGTCAAGCAAAAAAAAAAAGTCATAGCTGCTGGAAATTGCGTCACAAAGGTTTTAACGTAGAAAAAAACGGAAAAAAATACCCACAGCATTAAACTACACCATCGCGCCACTGGCTTAACGCAACGTAAAACTGCTAATCTTGCCCTGAACGACACGCAAACGGCCAGCAACGTGCAGTTTCTGACGTAGCAGGAGCGTGCTCGCTGACGAGCAGCAGCAATCCGACAGTTAACCCATCGCACGCAGCCTGCGGTGATGAGTTAACCCATCGCACGCAGCCTGCGGTGATGAGTTAACCCATCGCACGCAGCCTGCGGTGATAAGTTAACCCATCGCACACAGCCTGCGGTGATGAGTTAACCCATCGCACGCAGCCTGCGGTGATGAGTTAACCCATCGCACGCAGCCTGCGATCTCGCCGAACATGATGAGGTCGAAAACGTGTTCAATCAAAGCGAACACATTCAATAACGTGACGGGTTACCAGCCTAAGCGTACTCAAATTTTCAATGGTGTTTACAATCCAGCGAGAGGCTTCGTGGAACTATCCCCGTGTTAAACTGGGTAGCTCTTGCATAAATATACTGACTGAATGTTGCGTCTTATTAAGACAATTGACGAGAAGTGACATATAGTCCATCCGAGATAACAACGTGCTCGCATGTTTGTTCAAGCGAACGAGGGGATTAGGAGTAGTCAAAATGAGAGAGGGATTAGTAGCCTCGCCAGATGAACGAAGGATTAGTAGGCTTGACAGATGAACGAAGGATTAGTAGCCTCACCAAATGAACGAGGGATTAATTCTCACTAAATTATCACGGGATTAGTTGTCTCTCCAGATGAAACAGGGATTAGTTGCCTCGCCAAATGAACGAAGGATTACTAGTCTCGCCAGAAGAACGAGGGATTAGTAGCCATTCCAAATGAACAAAGGATTAATAGCCATGCCAAATGAACGAGGGGACTAGTAGCCTCTTCAATTGAACAGAAGATTAGCAGTCACACCAAATGAACGAGGAATGAGTAGCCTCACCAAATTAACGAGGGATTATTACTCGCCAAATGAACGTGAGATTAGTAGCTCGTAAGATGAACGAGGGATTAGTAGCTTCATCAATTTTACAAGGAAATAGGCGTCACGAGAAATGAACTAGGGATTAGTAGCCTTGCCAAATGAACGAGGGATTAGTCGCTTCACCAAATGAACAAGGGATTAGTAGCCTCGCTAGATGAACGCGGGATTAGTAGCAAAGCCAGATTAACGAGGGATTAGTAGCAAAGCCAGATGAACGAGGGATTAGTCGCCTCGCCAGATGAACGAGGGATTAGTCGCCTCGCCAGATGAACGAGGGATTAGTAGCCTCGCCAGATAAACGAGGGATTAGCAGTCTCGCTAGATGAACGAGGGATTAGTAGCCTCGCTAAATAAACAATTGATTGTAGACCCAACTTTCTATTTTTGCAAAAATATGCACTAAGAATTTGAATTCCGACCTCACCGTCTTTGCCAAATATTTATCACCTATATCCAAATATAATTTTTTTTAATATAATATTTATCTGCACTTTTTAATGTACTTTTTTATTGTTGTAAGTTTGTAATATATTTTGCTAATGTTGTACTTGTTTAATGTACTTTTTTTAATGTTATACTTTTTTAATGTTATAATTTTTTAATGTTAGAATTTTTTAATGTTATAATTTTTTAATGTTATACTTTTTTAATGTACTTTTTTTAATATTATAGTTTTTTAATGTTGTACTTTTTAATGTTGTCCTTTTTAAATATTGTACTTTTTATTAGTGTAGTTTTTAATGTACTTTTTTAATGATGTAATTTTTTTAGTGTTGATCTTTTTTAATGTTATACTTTATTTAGGCTCTTATGCTAGGTACTGGTCAGGTGACTAGCCGCCACGCTTTCCCTAGAACACTATCTGCACTTCACTTTACGTCCAGTTCTTCAAATTCCGTAAGGTGTGAAGGATGGAACAGTGTGAGAAAGCTGCTCAGTCATCCCTCCCTGTCCGGGGGGTTCGAATTCGGTTCGAACATGATGAACTCTAGCGGGTGCTTGGGGCGCTCTACGATCCGAAATATATCCGAACTACGACGATCCGAAATCTACCGGAGTTAAAACGAATTATCCGAAGCAGGAAGATCCGAAGTTCGTCCGTTGATGAGCGTAGAACAAGATTCTCTCTCTCGAGGTGGTGGTGGTATATAAGATCCTGCATTGATGTGTGACTGAGGCTATATACGTGGACGTGTGGGTGGGCCTTAAGCGGGACTTATCCCGTCCGGAGCGCTCAGCCTCACGCTTATAACAAGTTAAACACTGCGCACTTACCGCAAGCCATTCATAACCAACTCCAGCACTTTGAAATGTTACGTAGTGTAGTGAAAGTTTAACTTATGCCTGTATGTATTTCCACAGAGACAAAGGGGGAGTGTTGGGGGATATATATATACACTGACATGTATACCCAGCTTCTCGAATTATATATATACACACTGACAAGTATACCCAGAGTTTACCATAGTCCTGGACTATGTTCACGACTCCAGTATCCTCATTGGTTGTTAAGTTGGCAACTACGGTGACTTTATAGACCACTCTCCAGGTGTTCCAGACATCATCAGCTCAACACCAATTCATCCAGACGAGTGTATTCATACTTGTACAAGTTGTTTAGTGTACGGAAAGCTTGATTTAATACTGATTTGTATTTAGAAATAGAATTTATTTCTAGATATATATATTTTGAGTTTCACCACGACAGTCCATAATAGCCTAGTATTGTTGACACCATATAATACATATTTTTCTGGAATACAAAGAGTTGGGTTGTGTACATCCCAGCTCCTAGTTCACATATCCCAGCTTCTAGTCCATATATCCCAGCTCCTAGTCCATATATCCCAGCTCCTAGTCCACATATCCCAGCTCTTAATCCACACATGCCTTACAGTTTCTGTACAGTGACATTGACCTTGATATAGGATACGAGATTTAGCAAAAAAAATACAAAATAATAATTTTTCCTGGTCACTACGCATTTTTTTC